AGGCAACTAAAAGTCCATGAAAAGAATTACACCACCCATGACCTGGAACTTGGAGCAGTAGTATTTGCACTCAAATCTGGAGACACTACCTCTATGGCACAAGATGCACTATCTTCACCGACCACAAGAGCCTTCAACACATTCTCGATCAGAAAATGTTGAATATGAGGCGGAGGAGATGGGTTTTATTACTCAACGACTATGATTGTGAAATAAAGTACCACCCAGGAAAGGCTAACGTTGTAGCAGATGCTCTGAGCAGGAAAGAAAGGGTGAAGCCATCGAGAGCACGAGCTATGGGAATGTTGGTACAGACAAGCTTAAAGGCTCAAATTCTTGAAGCCCAAGAAGAAGCTCTGAAGGCAGAAAATCTGAAGGACGAGACCCTGCATCAATTAGAGAAAAAGTTTGAAGTACGATCAGATGGGATACGCAACTTTAAAGATAGAGTATGGATTCCAAAAGTCGACCATATGAGATCGACAATCATGGACGAAGCACATCAATCRAGGTACTCAATCCACCCAGGAACATATAAAATGTACAAAGTGTTAAAAGAGCACTATTGGTGGCCAGGAATGAAGAAAGATGTGGCCCTATACGTGAGTAAATGTTTGACTTGTCCGAGAATCAAGGCGGAACACCAGAAACCATCCGGTCTTCTACAACAACCAGAAATTCCAAAATGGAAGTGGGAGCAGATATCGATGGACTTCGTGACCAAATTACCCAGAACCAGAAAAGGGCACGACTCGATTTGGGTAATTGTGGATCGACACACGAAATCCGCACATTTTCTACCTATTCGAGAAGATTTTAATGTAGAAAGGCTAGCACAATTGTATGTCAACGAGATCGTTATGCGTCATGGAGTACCTGTTTCAATAATTTCAGACAGAGATAGCCGTTTTACATTGTGATTCTGGAAATCACTACAAAAGGCGATGGGCACAAGGATAGATTTAAGTACTTCTTATCATCCTCAAACCGATGGGCAAACAGAAAGGACTATTCAGACATTGGAGGATATGTTGTGTGCTTGTGTGATAGAATTCGGAGGTATTTGGGATGAGCACCTACCGCTGGTTGAATTTTCCTACAACAACAGCTATCATATGAGTATACAGTACGCGCCGTATGAAGCCCTTTATGGACGTAAGTGCAGATCACCACTCAGTTGGTTGGAAGTTGGTGATAGTCAATTAATTAGGCCAGACATTATTCAGGAGACAACAGACAAGATCAAGACGATCCAAGAGAGGTTAAAAGCGGCTATAGATCGCCAGAAAAGCTATGCGGATAACCGTAGGAAGCCACTGGAATTCCAAGTTGGAGATCAGGTGTTATTAAMGGTATCACCATGGAAAGGGCTATTACATTTTGGGAAGAAAGGAAAATTAAGTCCAAGGTATATTGGTCCGTTCAAGATACTAGAAAGGGTAGGACCAGTCGCTTACAAACTCAATCTACCGCAAGAGCTCAATGCCATTCATGACACCTTCCATGTATCGAATCTCAAGAAATGTCTGTCAGAAAAATCGTTAGTGCTGTCTTTGGAAGAGATCCAAGTCAACGAACAGTTACGCCTTATAGAAGAACCAATTGAAATTCTTGACCATAAGATCAAGCGATTGAGGCGTAGCAAAATTCCAATCGTGAAAGTTCGTTGGAACTCAAGACACGGGCCGGAGTATACCTGGGAGCGAGAAGATTTTATGAAGAACAAATATCCCCAACTATTCACGACAGAACTGTCCGGAAGTTGTAATCATTAAATTTCGGGGCGAAATTTCTCTAACAAGGGAAGACTATGACAGCAGTCAAATTCGGAATCCCAGGTTAGCTTTTATTAAGATTATATTAGTGCTATTGAAGTTAATTTATAGATTAGGAGTTAGTTAGGTTAGTTTAGTTGAAAATTTTTAAGAATTTCCGGGAGTTGCTTAGAAAGTCCGGTTCCGACCCGAAATTATCTGAAACGTCCTATACAGTACCAAATGCTCTAATTTATACCCAATATATATAAAACACTAAGTTTTACTGTTTTAGATATAAAACCTTTCTATTTAAAAAAATTTAGTCATCGTGGGCTTTTAAAATGAAGAAAAATGTCAAAATTGAGAAATTGGGCTTTTGTGCATTATGGACTTAGTTTTTATAAAAAAAAATATATATTTGAGGATTGGGTTGGGCCCTCCCATGGCCGGCCATCCTCCCCCCATTTCCCTCCCAAAATCCACATATAAATACCTTCATTTTCCTTTAATCCTCATAATTTCTCATTCAAATTCCAAAACCCTCTCTTTTCTCTCCCTAGAAAACTCAAGGGTCACCTTGAGAACCCTCCTTCCTCTTCAACCACATTCAGCCGATTTTCTCATCTATCTTCATCATTTTGGCAAGATTTTGAAGATACAACATTTATCTCATCATCAAACAAGGTAATGCATACATCCTTTCATCTTTTCTTGTATGTTTTGGGGAGAAAAACCCATTTTTATGCATTCTTCATCCTCTATTTTATAAGTTTTGAAAATCTTGAGTTTCAAGGTGAGATTATACACCAAAAACATGTAAAAATGTTTATTTGATGGTGGTAATCCATGACCCAAACATTAGAACTGAAAAAGGTAGGAAGAAATCATGATTTTATGTGGTTTATTTCTTAAAAAACTTCATATTCTGTTGCTGACAGATTCTGTGCTTGTTCACAATTCGTTCATATCTTGTAAATGGCTTGTTCAAATGTCATGAGGTTTCTTTTAAAAGTTTATTTACTGAGTTGGGGTTGCAATGCAATTGGTTTCACTCATAAACATTGAGTTTTGACCCCCCAAATACTCAAAACATTGTATATATGTATCTGAGAGTTCTTTAGTAGGTAAACCCTACTTTGAACAGTCATAACTCTCTAGATAATCATCCAAAATTGTTTATTTTTCTTTTGGATGTTAGTTTAATGAGTTACCTTTTAAATTCCACCAATTTCATTCAATATTGTGGTGATTTGAGGTTTTAATTACTCAAAATAAGATGAACATGCAATCTGTCCGATTTTGACAGATTTATATATATGTTCCATCGATCATATCTCTTTCATAACTCAATGAAAAAGAATGATTCTTCTTTTGAGAGTTAATTTTATGTGTTTTCTCCTACATGCAAGTGGAATCACATAAAATTTTGGAGCTTTGATCTCCAAGAACCTAAAACTCTATAGGTGTGCAAACTGTGAAACCACCAGTAGGTAACTCTTACTTTGAATGTTAATATCTTTCTATTTACTTGTCCTCAATGTATGATTCTTCTTATAAAACATTTTTTTATGAGTTATGATTCATTTGAATCCAGTTTCACTCAAAAATATGATGTTTTGAGGCGTGAACCTATTTATTTAAGTCAAGTGTGCAATCTGTCAACTAATGACAGATGTGTGCATGTGACTTTAAGGTATCATATCTTCCTCTCAACTCATTCAAAATGAGTGATTTTTAGTTTAAACGTTTCGTATAAGTATTATGTTTTCACTCCAACTTGAATTTCTGCAGAAAACCTAATAGAACTCTTTTAATGAGTGTTTTACTAACATGGTGCAATCTGCCATTTCAATTGTGATATGTTGCTTTGCATAAATTATTTGAATCATCATCTCATGACCAAAATACATGAAATTTGGTCATGATAVCTATAACTCAGTGCTATAAATCATATAAAAAGATGGGAATTTATCTCATTTTTGAAGTCACTTTATTTGATCATTTTATGTAACTTAAGTTTATGTCCATAATCAAGAATT